GACACAGGGGTACCACCTCTGCTGCATAGTTGCGGAAGCCTAGGAGGATCTTCCACTGGCGACCAGTGAAGCTGGCCGACATTGAGGCAACAGAGAGGCGCTGTACTCGTCGTGCATTGTCTGGGAAGAGGTGGAGGGAAGCCATGGAGGTGTCCCGTTCCATCCCCAGCCACACCAGTTGTTGTGATGGTAAGAGGAGGACTTTGGGTGATTAATTCTGAAGCCCATGCCCTCCACCGTGGCCAGTGTTACTCTGGTGCTTGATTCGCCTTCTTTCTTCGACGAGGCCGAGATCAGTCAGCCAGTCGTTCAGGTACATGAGGACGTCTACCTTGCGATGGACGAGCTACCTGGCCAAGACCCTCATGATTCTGGTGAAGACTCTAAGGGCTAGGGAGAGACCGAAAGAGAGCCGGGTAAATTAAAACACGTACCCCTCCACCTGAAAGGCCAGAAACTTCCTGAACCTCCTGTGGATTTAGACGTGCCATTAGGCGTCTTCTAGGTCGATGGAAGATAGCCAGACCCCCTGTTCAAGATGGAGGCATACCTGAGCTACCGACACCATTCGAAAATTGTGAGGCTTGTAAAAACGGTTTAGGCAGCTGAGATCCACTACCAATCTCTCCCTGTTAGAGTCCTTCTTGGGGACAGTGAATAACCGGGACAGAAATACACGTCCTTCTGTTCTCTCCACTACCCCCTTTTGCAGCATTGACCGTGATGAAGGTTGGCTGTGCGGCCAAGCATTCCTGCAGGGCCTCCTCTGGGATCAGGGACGGGGCAAAGGGTGACCGCTGTAACAGGCCATTTCCTCATCCCAGTGTCTGATTGCCCCCCACCGGAGGTCCATCCAGTCCTCTACCGCCTTATCCAGCTGAGGGCGAAGGTTGATGGCCGAGACGGAGGCGAGTCCGGAAGTGATGGTATATAGGGCCCAGTAGACACCAGCTGCAGAGTCTGGGTGGAGGGAGTTAGGGTTGTCGGCCAGTGCCTTCAACCAAGCGTCTGGTTGGGCCAGTCCTGCCGTAGTGAAGAAGGCGAGGGCCGCCTTCTGCCTCTCCAAGGCGTCCTTGGTCAGGGTGGCGTGGGAGAGAGGACTGTGTTAATTTCGGAGCCCACAGGAACTCCATCAACTCGCCTAGCACCCGGTCATCCTGGGGGGATAAGACTAGAGGTCCAGGCCCACCTTCTCCAAGGGCCTGGCTGGCTGTCCAGGCACACGTCCTACCGTCCTGTAACGTTGCCTCTCGGTAAGGACCTGCAGTGGACAGCACGGAACAGGAGGCCAGAGAGTTGAAATCATCCAGGGTCGCGACCGGGGAAGTTCCTAACAGGGCTTGGACCATCTCCCTTCTCGACAGGCGTAGCTGCCAGAACTCAAAGTACTCCGAACCTACAGTAAGTCGTCCGCCCGTCGTCGGACCTCTAGGTCGGACCGGGGCGAGAAAACTAGGTTCCTCCCCCTGCTTTACTCTTTAGAAAAAACTGACCAGTTTCCCCTGGTGCGAGTGCACACACCAGTCCCGTGGGACCCGAGTCCACTTATACACCCCCTGTCAAAAAAGAGAAGGCAGCTCCCATCTGTGCGGGTAAGGTACCTTCTCCTGACGAAGGCATAAGCCTTGTAGGGGCAGGAGAAGTTGCAGAGACCGACTCCTGGTCCGAGTTGGAGTAGTCAGGCAGCCCCTGTGAGTACCCGGCCCTCCTTAGCTCAGAACCGAACTCCGAGAACACTAATGGGTCCGGGGAGGGGTAGCGAGGGCGGGATCTCCTTGCCACAGGATTTTGGATGGAGGAGAGCCTGGGCCTGCTGCTGCTGCAGCTGCTGCACCCCAAACCAGGAAGACAGAGCCTGCAACATCTTCAATGGCAGGGCTGGGGGGTGTGGGTGCAGTGCCCAGGGTGACCAGCATCTCCGGCTGCAACGTCTGGGCGGCTGGGGACCAGCTTAGAGGGAGCGATAGAGGAGGTAGAGGAGCCGTCCTCCCCGGCGGCGCCATGGAAGGTCGCCTGGCCCGGGGGGAAGGAGCCGTAGGAGGTCGGAAGCGAGAAGGGTCGTCCTAGTCGAGCCACCTGGCGAGGCTGGTGAAGGGGGAGGTCCGGAGGACAATTTGTGCTGCAGGGACAACCCAGCTGGGGCCCTGGTGGAGTCACAGGGTTCGAGGACCGAAGCTTCCTCCTTGTGATCCCTCTTCCCCTTGTGGCCGCTGTCCTTGGGCGACCAGGGGCGTTGGTGCCTGTAGTAGAAGGACTTAGCGGGACTCCCGTTGCAGTGACGGTGGCGACTGGAGGAGGAGTGAGCACTTGACTCCCAGACGGGCACGGGGGAGCACTGTGCAAAGCCCAAAGCCCCAGGGCGGGGGAAGGTGAGCTCTGCTGAGGCTGACTGGGAAGCCGGAAGGAGGGACCTCCACCTGTGGTCCTCGGTAGAGTGGACTCTCCCCGGGGGGCCTCAGAGGCGGCACATACGCAACCAGGAACAAAGATCCTGGTCCCTCCAGGAGAGGGGGACTGCCCCAGTGTCTGGCAGAACTGAAGGTTGCCGACCAGCGGTGCCGAAACTGACTGCCGGAAGAAGTGGGAGGAAGCCACATCTCCTTCAGCGTCGTGAAGGAGAACCACCATCCACTCAGAGCACACGGTACAACGACTCGGGTCGACCTGTCTACGTCCACTCACGAGACAACCTGTCGGAACCTGTCCGAACCTGTCAGAACACCTCGGGGCCGAGCAGGGCACCGTCTGGGGCTGGGAAGAGAATGAAGGTGAACAAATCTGTGAAAAAGAGAGGCCGGCGAACCGGCGTGAAAAAGCACACAAAAAATGGAAGACAGGGAGGAGGATAGAGGAGGGGAGAGGGGGAGAGAACCCCTGTCCCGCACCATAACCCGACAGAGAAAAGCGGTCGCTACCCGTCCGAGAACACACAGGAGTAGGGAGGAAGGCAGGACTGAAGACGCCTATCCAATCCAAAAAAACCCGAGCCAGACAACGAAACCGAGTAACGACTCAGAATGTAGGCCTGACAAAAGAAAACACAAACAGAGGGAGAGGGAGAAAGAAAAAGTAGAGTGGAAAAACCGAAGCCTATCCAAGCAACTGGAAGAGGAGGAATGAGCATCAGCTCGGAAACCACAGCACGTGGTTTCAAGGTTCGGGAAAAAGAGACAACAGCACTCACAGGAGGAGGGCTACCCACGTGGGGAAAAACAACCAGCTAAAGAAACCCCTTAGCATGCAGCACCACACAAGAAGAAAAAAGGGAGGGAAAGGAGGCAAAAAAACACGTAAACAACCCGAACCTAGAAAAACAACACTCCCCCCTCCTAATTAACTAAGACAAAAAAACATTCTGGCATACTGCTAAGGTAAAAAAGCACAGATGGTACGGAAGGGCAACAGACACAAACCATAAAAGAAGCTGAAGCAGGAGAAGAGTCTGGAATGTCTATCTACAACAGTAGGCCGGAAATAAATGATGCCTGAATTATGTTCTCAGACAAGCAGTGACATGGCGCAGCTCTCTTGTGCAGTTTCCTATTCTTTGTTAATTTTCTTCCACTGCTAGTGCAGCCTTGACTGATCTAGATGTGCTAAAATTTGGCCTGTCACCTCCTAAGGGTGATATCTTATGAGATCTAATAGCAAGTGCACTAGCAAGCTCATCTCACTAAAATTTTGTATTATAATTTTGTAAACTATGTGTTTTGACCGTTTTCTGTCCCATGCAGCAGTTATTTTGGCAAATTTAGTGAATTTTTTGTATATATAGTGATTTATTAATTATGTAAGAATATTCAAGAATGCTTTGCATCATTATGTTATGATTTACATAGAAAAACCTTCTAGAATCTCCCAGGCGTTTCTGGGTGATTCTATTGTTTGAGAATTGACTCACGAGGCGTATATAAGCGGCCGCTGGCTGCCTCGGATTAAGTGGATTGCTTCCGTTCATAGAGTAAAGAATAAGCCAAGCAGAACAACTGAAGACAATTGTTGTGCAAGTATTGTGGAATTGTTGTGATCAATATAAAGTGAGAAGACTAAGGAATTGTACACTGGTAGTATGTTGACTATATATTCGAAGTGTGGAGTCAAGCTGTGAAGACATTACCATGTTAACAGTGTTGTGAAGAATTAGTGTTTCTTAAAGCAGACTACAGTGCACAAATGTGTTTCGCTGACCTGGTGGAAATCTACCTGTCTGTTGCTTGTCTGTACACTGATACCGATCGTCGGGAAATTACTGGAGACTGGCTTCTCTACATACAACCCTAGCCGTTGGTAACCAGTGGTGGAAGCTAGGTAAGCGGTGAAAGGAGGAGGGTCATAACAATACACATATTTTTCATCAATATCAGACTAAGAACTTTTTTACAAATTTATAATTATAATGCAGTATAATATAATATTAACTTTTTCAGTACAAACTAATTATCATTAGAATTGAGATAAATATATCAGAACAATTTAATTTGCTTCAGTCTGGTGAACAAATCTGATGTCAATTATGTCCTCATTCATATAAGTAAATCAAAGATACAGGCAATACACTAAGAAATTAATGACTTATCCCTGACAACGAGTGCATTCAGTCATAAACCGATACAGAGGCCCAGTACCCTCATATATAGACACATATGAAGGCTCCTAAAAGCAAGTTGTCATCTCTAATTTTAATTAACACATCATTGATTCCTGAAATTATATCCACATTAGGTGTATTATTTAATGCTCCACACCCTCAAGGCCACTGACATGAACTACTCAATTGTTGAATGCATACTGTAAGTTGAAGATGTAATGCGAGTTGAACGCATATTATGAGTTGAAGGTGCAGTGTGAGTTGAACGTGTAATGTGGATTTGGTTGTTCATGCCATTTGTAATATTAATCCAATGCAGCATTAAAAATGTTAGCATTCATTAACAGAAATATTTTGGCAGTACTGTGTAATGTAGGAGAGTCTGGCTATAAATCATCATTTCTAATTTCAGGAAGTCAATGTAAGTGAGAAGGAACAGTTTCCTGTTAATGCAGGTTCCCTAAAGCACCGTCTGGTGACGCTGTGGGAGTACCTGTTTCTGTTGCTGCACAACGAGGCGATACGAGGGAGGGTGTTGATTGTCTTCTACCTCTGGATAGCTGTCTCTATGATCTACTACGGTGTCAGCCTCAATGCAACTAATCTCAGGTATAATTCCTTTATCATTATAAATATTTGTAAATATCAAGGTGTGCCATACAATAAGTTTGTGTATTACCGGTTTATATCAGTTACTTAAAGTTGAGCAGTGTGATCTATTGGAAATGTTAATCAACAGAAATACTCAACAAAAAGTACTTATCACAAAGAAACATCTACATTAATGATTTTAAGATGATGAGACTGTAAGGACGTGTTGATGCCTCACTTGTTGCTAGAAACTGAGTTTAGTTCCTGTAGGTGTGGATTTTTTTTGTTTTTTATGTATACATAGTAATCCTGGTGCCCGGAATATATCGCAATTATTATTGCGAGATAAAAAAAAAGCCAATTTGAATCACCCAGGTGTTTTGGAAGGTTGCTGCCGGGTAGAAAGCCAGAGAAAAATTAATGTTATTGATCATTCTGTGTTCAGAGGATCGTAAGGAAGGTTTTAGTAAAGGGTCAGCCATGTGTTCTTCACTGATTAGAAACCATTGTTGCCATCATTGGGGTCAATCTCGAGGCTTAAGCCAGAGTTTTGACCTAATACCAACACAATTTCGAGATGACAGAGGTATGTATGTACAATCGTGGGCAAAGTAATCATCCACCCTTCCTACTACCATACCCCCGAGCTCAAAGCCTTTCTACACGACGGGTCACAAGAGGGTGAGGGAGGTATTGATGGCGAGAGAGCTGGGGGTCGTGGATCCGGGTTAGGTAAGATAATGATATTGATATTGACATAGAAACAGTTTATTTAGCCAGAAAAACACAGATTCAGAGTCGATTAAAAATCATAATATTAACATAGCTGAGCTAGTTGAGAGCCAGAGCTCTCTTGTAGGCATCTTATATATACAGGTATACTGCATATTTATCTCAAGGAAGTATTATGTAACATATAGTATCATCTGGAATAGTACACATAGCATGGTGGTAATAAGAACTTATCAGAATGTTACCACGGTTATCACTTCGATATTTATTTATTTGATTTATTTTATTTTGGGTTACACAGAAGTATATACATTAAAGTATATACATAATTTACAGTAGAATTGAAAGAAGATAAATATGATAAGGGAGGGAAGCAGTACAGCATGGGTTGTATTAAGGAGGAACAAGAGGACAGAGTTGTCAGTATTATGTCTAGTTGGCAAGTATATATATTGCAATGGTAATTTCTATCTATCTACATGACAATTTCTGATAAAACGGTTTTGGTGGTACAGGTGTACAATAAAAGCAGATATATAAAGTACGTATTACAAAAAATATTAATGCTTAAACAATACATATTTTTTAAGAGATGATTTAAAGGAAGGGAGCGTAGTCTTTGCTCGGATGTGTGGGGGTAAGTTGTTCCACACCTTCACACCATGATATTTTATGGAGGTCTGGGACTGAGAGGAGCGCATGGGGGTTGGTCTTAGTAGCTCTGGGTGCTTTAAGTTGTATCTCTGATTATTCTCGAACTGGAAATAATTTTTGACAAGCAAGTGATTCACAAATTTGTAAACAAATAGGGCACAGCAGTAGGTGTTAATATCCTCTAATTTTAACATTTTTTATTTGGCAAATTGTTCGTTTGTGTGATCTGTTTTTTCAAGTAGGTCATTGTCCGCACAACTCTCTTTTGTGCAGTAACCAGGGATTGTGTTTTTGAAGAGCCAGAGGCCCCCATAGTGTGTGACTGTGTATCAGGTGTTGGTAAACAAGATCATAATAGATTTCTTTCATTGCTGTGAGAGTAAGTGACTGTCGAGTGTGATACATGATACCGCACTGTTTATTGATTTTACTGTGAATAGCTTGCATGTGGTTTCTCCAGCTAAATTTCTCATCAACAATAACCCCAAATAATTTAGTCAAGGATCACATACCTACTGAGAGTGTATGTGGTCTTAGAATTATCCTCAACACCTGAAGAAGGTGTTGGTCGATGTAGCTTGACGTTGACGGCCTTAATGATCCTGGCAGTTGATAGGCCTGAAGCCCAAACAACCGACCAACCAAGAGGGCGGGTGTCCATGAAAGTGAAAGGGACTTAACTTTCCCTTAGTTATCTATGCCTTTACTTGATATTCTGGGGAGGAATGCGATTAGCCATTTATAGGTAAGTGTCATTAAGGTTTATAAGGCGTCTGGCTTTCGTGAGGAAAAGCCCCTCATATGACAACATAAGAGGGGGGGGGGGGGCTTGCTCACCACCAGTAACACTAGACAAGGTTAGTACCTCTCGTCACTGCCGTCCAGGAAAAAAACTAGTATTTGAAGAAAAAAAAGAAGAATGAATTGTTACTTGATCACCTCCACCGTTCATGAAAAAAATCACTATTAACTGATAAAAAATTAAGAAGGAATTGTGGATAAAATGTGACTTGTCCACCCAGTAATATGTTTATTAGAATTGTGAAAATAAGTGTGAGGTGATGAGGTGGTAGTGGCAATGGTGTTTGGCCGCTGCTCCACATCCAGCCCAGGATGGAGGCTAATGAATGTCGATTGGCAAGTTGCCGGGAAATTATCGGTTTACCCACGGCTGGATACAACCTGTCAGAAATTGCAAGGGAGGTTGTGGTCACTGTGACACATTGGTTGACCAGGGAGTAGTCTCGAAACTTGGGAAATCTGCCATTGTGATTATCTTTGATGATTTGCAAAGATTTATATATTAAAATGACTAATTTCAAATGTGTTATGTAAACAAAATATATTTGAGCTCTTAATTCATATAAATGATATAATTTTAGGCCGGACGAGGAGGACATTGGAGGGCTATTTCTGTATGACCTGAGTTGGTAAATATTACAAATGAATGTGATTTCCACTCTTGTATTCAATATTTCTCTCCATATCAACGTTATTATGAATATCTAATTACTTTTGTTTAAAACATGAACAACAACCTGAAAAAATTATAACTAAGAAAATGGCTGGTACGTTATAATAAACATAGAATAAGGGTCCTCGTCTATTACCCTTTCAAGCATGTAAACCTAAGATGGTATAGTGAGGAAAAAATATTGCATTCATCCTGCCCTTCCCTGCTTTCTTTAACTCCCTCCCTCTCTGATGAGCAACTTACATCACAAACAACCCACCCACACCCCCTGCCCCAACAAGCGACCCTCCCACCCACACCCCCTGCCCCAACAAGCGACCCTCCCACCCACACCCCCTGCCCCAACAAGCGACCCTTCCACCCACCCCCTGCCCCAACAAGCGGCCCCAACAAGCGACCCTCCCACCCACACCCCTGCCCCCCACCCCCACCCCTACCCCAACAAGCGACCCTCCCACCCACCCCCTGCCCCAACAAGCGACCCTCCCACCCACACCCCTGCCCCAACAAGCGACCCTCCCACCCCCCTGCCCCAACAAGCGACCCTCCCACCCACACCCCCTGCCCCAACAAGCGACCCTCCCCCAAGTCAACCATTCCCTCTCTCGACCCCACGTGACTTATCGTGCAAAAAGGACCCGGCCAGGCGCAGGGGGTCAAGTGGTAGAGTAGGTGGTTCCTTTAAATGCAACTGTATTTTCAATTCAGGGGGGGCAAACCTTTCCTGTTCGAAACTCAGAATAATCCCTTTGGGTTCCTGTTCTAATTAGTGGGGTCAACATAAGCGACAAGTACTGTACTAGGACAACACTAGCGAGGTCTATTGTACTAGGACAACACTAGCGAGAAGTACTGTACTAGGGCAACACTAGCGAGGTCTATTGTACTAGGACAACACTAGCGAGAAGTACTTTACTAGGGCAACACTAGCGAGAAGTACTGTACTAGGACAACACTAGCGAGGTCTATTGTACTAGGACAACACTAGCGAGAAGTACTTTACTAGGGCAACACTAGCGAGAAGTACTGTACTAGGATAACACTAGCGAGGTCTATTGTACTAGGGCAACACTAGCGAGAAGTACTGTACTAGGATAGCACTAGCGAGGTCTATTGTACTAGGACAACACTAGCGAAAAGTACTTTACTAGGGCAACACTAGCGAGAAATACTGTACTAGGATAACACTAGCGAGAAGTACTGTACTAGGACAACACTAGCGAGAAGTACTGTACTATGACAACACTAGCGAGAAGTACTGTACTAGGACAACACTAGCGAGAAGTACTGTACTAGGATAACACTAGCGAGAAGTACTGTACTAGGACAACACTAGCGAGAAGTACTGTACTAGGACAACACTAGCGAGAAGTACTGTACTAGGACAACACTAGCGAGAAGTACTGTACTAGGACAACACTAGAAGGAGAAGTACTGTACTAGGACAACACTAGCGAGAAGTATTGTAATTAGGAATAAATATTAGCGCGAGAAGTACTGTAATACTAGGACAAATACTAGAAGAAATACTGTACTAGGGCAACACTAGTTATGAAGTACTGTACTAGACAACATTTGAAGTGTAGAGAGAAGGCATTGTACCAGGACAACATTTGAAGGAGAAGTACTGTACTAGGACAACACTAGCGAGAAGTACTGGTACTAGGACAAGACTAGCGAGAAGTACTGCACTAGACAACACTAGTGAGAAGTACTGTACTAGGACAACACTAGCGAGAAGCACTGTACTCAGGACAACACTGAAGGAGGGTGCCTACTGGACTAGGACAACACTAGCGAGAAGTACTGTACTAGATAACACTACAGCGAGAAGTACTGTACTAGGACAACACTTGAAGGAGATGTATTCTATTAGACAATAACACTCATGAGAAGTAGTGTACTCTTTGGACAACACTAGCGAGAAGTACTGTACTAGGACAACACTAGCGAGAAGTACTGTACTAGGACAACACTAGCGAGTAGAAGTACTGCACTAGGGACAACACTTAAAGGAGAAGTACTGTACTAGGACAACACTAGCGAGAAGCATCTGTACTAGGAATAACACTAGCGAGAAGTACTGCACCAGGGACAAATACCTTGAAGGAAGTACTGTACTAGGACAACACTAGCGAGAAGTAATTGCACTAGGACA